TTTATAATGTAAAGCTGTTTGACAATATAGAATTTTTGTAATAGGACGCCGTCAATAAATTAGTATGAAAAAAAATACTATAATAATTAATTATACATTCTGACCATTCTATCATTCTACACACAAGATTTAATTACAAAAATTAATGAATAAATGTCCAGAGCTGAGCAAATTATATTTCAACACAGTTTTTGTTTATAAATATTTTTAGTTCAAATTTAGACAAATTTAGATATTTAAACCAAGAATAACAATTTTAGTTATTTTGTTATAAAAATATTACTAGTGCAAGATATTTGAGACCTTTAATGTATATTATTATTTATTGTTATATTTTATACACTGAATGATATTCGCAAATGCAATTTTCCGGCGACAATTAATTAATCCAATCCATTAATGTCTAATACAATAAATAAATTTAATAGAAAGAGTATCTTAAAATACACTTGGTGAAACAGGCTTAAAGACTATTTTATCAAATTGAATTCAATTTGAACACCATCCATTACAGTGACCCATATTCGAACGAACCTACGATAGTACGATACTCGCCTGCCAATCTTTTGTTTTTGAAATTTCTTTTTCTTTTTCAACTGATGTTTGGAAAGAAGTGTTTAAGTTAAATCATAGTACATCCAATGCAGGTTTGTAGATATCTTAAGTAAGCCTACAGCTGTTGTAGCTGTATAAGTTATGCAATAGGTGCTGTGGCTGTGAATGAACTAATTAGTAGGTATTCATAGTAATTTCAAAGTCAAAATGTATTGATAAAAATCCACACAATATGTACGCTGTACGCGTATATAACAAAATTGATAAAAACAATATTTATTTTATGTGGTATTACACATTTTAATATTTATAGTACCAATAGGACAGTTATATACGTGGAGGCGATGTGGCCGAGAGCCATCGTCGGAGTGCCGCGTATGAATTTAACTGAAAACGTGAGCATAAGATACGTCGCAATGTTACGTGTCCATGTGAAACGGGCCAAGACGGAGACAATATATGCGGTTATACAGAAAAACGAAAAAACCCGGACTTTAGCGATCGATGGATTTCCAATTTCGCGAACAAACAAAATCGGCAGAGTCCGATCAACGAGTTTGTTGGATAAAATAAACCGCTACCACCGCGGATAGGAATTACAAATAAAAAAAACCCACGATAGATATTATGCGCGTGCGTATACAGTGTGTGTGTGTGTGTGTGTGTGTGTGTGTGTGTGTGAAGTGGGATATTATTGTCCGTAATAAATTATTTTAGCCGTCATCGATGTTTGTATACGTCTCGTTTGTATACCTATATAATATAATAAATACATGCACACCCGCATATTTCCTATACACTCGTACGTATTACGGAAGAACATCATGTGTGTGTGTGTGTGTGTGAGTGGGTGATTGGAGGGGTGGAGAAGAGCCAAGGTTGTTAAAAAATCAAATGTATATAATATATTATATATGTGAAAAAAAAACCCGATACTCGAAGAGACCAAAACAAATACTTAACTGCGAGCAGCATTGTGCTATGAGCCGGCGTTTGGAGGGGGGGGGGTAGTGCATATGGTAAACGATATGGGGATGCGAGAGCAAACAAATCGGGTGCGTGTATTATAGTCTCCCGTGGTTCTCGAGCGTATAATTGAAATTAATCATTTCCCAGTTCGGTGTTCAAGGGAGCGCGTATATTCCCAGCCACTGCAGCGCGAGTATCGTAACGACGACGACGACGTCGGGCGAATAAACAAATAAATCCTGAGCGGACCGATATTTTTTTCCATTTTTTATACGTCTGTGTATACGTTATCCGTATGTGTAGAAACGGAGGATACGAATCAATTTACGCTATGCGATATAATTAATGATGCACTCGCGAGCGGTGTGGTCGAAATTGGGGCATAATAAGTTTGGCGAGCGAGTGAGGGCCAATGATGTGCCGTTGCCCGTTGCCCTTCTGTATGACTGTACGACTGTGCCTATTTAGTTTAACCTAGCTAGCATTCAAAACTAGTACAATATTAAACTATACAAGTAGACTTATAATGATAAATTTATAGATGACGGGCGAGTTATGTTATTCACATATTGTCGGAGATCTATATATATACTCGCATCATTCTGCGATTGGTTGCACCTGTGACGATTTTGCGAATTTTTGTACCTAAAGAAGTGACGAGCGCACGAAAGGCAAATGATTGACAACGTCAACATTAAATTGGGAAGCATTCAATAAAATATATTTTTCTAGTCATCCTCATTCTTCACCATTTTTTACAGAGTTTAGACTAAAATATACCTACATGCCGATTGAGTGATTGACCGATTGCACAATAGGAATAATTTTGAAATAATTTTTTTTTATACTCATATTATATTATACATATGTACACAGCCACACTGGACAAGTCCAAACTTAGTAACATATAGGATGATTAAATTAACATTAGATAATAAGGTTAAGAATAAGACTAAAATAAAATTAATAACTCGAACCTAACTGGCTATTATAAAGATAGAATTAGGTCACATAATATAATAGATGGCGAAAGATACGTTGTGATTTGTGGTCGTTGTCGTGTGGTGTGTGAGGGTTGTTGAATCTAATAGTAAACATTCGACGGAAACCGTCAAAATGCGACCTATAATATTATTATAATATAATTTGTAATAGGTAATGCAATGTGTTTGTGCAAAATAAATGTATTTTATTGAGATATAATTACACCACTGACCATTATATAGGTTAGTGGTAACGAATTGTCCACATTCCTATTCACTTTTTAGGCCTCAGGGCTTAAACTTTAAAGTCAAAGGATTTCAGTCAGCTCACTCAATTCAATATTTCGATCGTTATATATAGTATATTAGTATAGTCGGGATAACTTCATTTAGGTCACAATAAGACTATTATAGATTTAATAATCAAGTTCTTTAGGAATTGTATTTTAAGCTTTATAAGTTTTAGTTATTCAGTCTAGATGTTGAGGAAGGGGAACAAAAGGGTTACTTGCCTAGGGTGCTTTTTCTAAAGAGCACCAAATCGTAAGTTATTTATAGTGTTCAATTGACTATAATATATATATAGGAGAGTGCTGCAGATCACCAATTTTATATTTTGCTGTGGGTGGACAAAAAATTATATAGGATTCAGAACACTCAACACAGAATTATTGGTAATAGTCACCACTCATCATCACGAAGCTATGGAATCACTATTATAGGTATAACTATTAAATGTTAATATACGTAATAATATGGATTTTGTCAACTAAAGATTTTCTTTTAATAATTAATTGTTTCAAATAACTCGTTGAAATTTGTATACTATATAAATGTAATTTGTTTGTGAAAAAAAAATTTTAAAATAGTAGTATCAAGCAATTCCTCCCTTGCCCTGATTCGTCCGCTTCTAAAAATGGTCGCAATGCCAACCGTTTGTCGACCGACCTCTAAAGTGGGTAGCTACATGAAACTTGTAAATACATTTTTTTAGTCTTAGTCCCCACTTAAAAACTCGATAACGCCTTCTTACCATGCACACGTGCTGCAGCACTGATATTTGATTCCATTCGTTATTCACAACATGCACATTTTTTTTATTTTCTAACTGTTGTCGACTATACAGTAAACAAATACATGTAATTTTGTATTTGTATTTATTGCTGTCAACCATTTTAACATAAATATTTCATTCATAAACATATACAAAACATAACAATAAAGTTGGATACATGATGGTTGCAGCAATGCCAAAATTGCATTACTATGCATCATAATTCACAACTAATACTTCGCCTATATTGCAGAGAGGATCTGGAGGTGATGACGAAATACTTGGCATATTGACTAGGGGATAATTTAGAAAGTTAGAACTTTATAACTTAGGAAAAATAGAAGGAATATACAGGGAAAGGGAACACAGTTCACGCAGTCCACAGATCGGTTATAAAGCGCGCAATGAATTCGGTAACTTATGTCGAATGGCATAATTGTTGATACTATACAACTACACAAATCAATGAGAAAATGGTTGGTCGCTAGTCTCTTTTTAATCTCAAAAATCAAACAAAAAATAATGTTACTTACATGATCGAATAGTAATAATAAACGTTGAACAAAAGTTTTAGAGTATATATATATTATATATATATATACACATAATATTATATTATTACTGATGTATATAATTAGATATGTACAATGAAAACAATTTTATACAACCAAAAAAGTGGCAGTCTAGGAATATATAATATTATTATGATTTGTAATTGATATTATGTTATAAGACGCTGTACTAATTACAGAAGCTGATAAGAAACTAAAGTGTTTATATAATATAAAATTATATATAATTTATACTGTTATATATATTTATGTATAATATATAATATATACACTAAATAATAACAATAGTATTTTTTCATATTTTTTTTTTTTTACATAAATTGTATAGAGCAAACAAAGCTCGTATGATATGTAATTGTTTCAATCGTTATGGACAATATTATTAGATATAATACATGACCACACTGAATTATATTTATATCGAAGTTAACAATAATATTTTTAAGACTTGGGAAATTATTATTATTAGTAGGCCAAATTATCACAAAAAGAAATTTGTTGATAATATTGTACACATAAAATATATTATAGATTACTTCATTTATAGGATTAGTGTTCTAAAATGTATACATTCGCTTCGGGTTACAGCAATAAAATACGTGATTTTGCGAGGAAATTTCAACTTAACTCAATATATATTTTTACAATTAGACTAGATAAAAAATCATAGTTAATTTTAAAAAGACATTGAAACTATACACAAAACATAAATTAGATACATAAATAAAAAAAACAACAAAATATTTTGAAAATAAAAAGAAACAAACAAAGAAAAATATATGTATTATCATACAACATAATATAATAATATAAGATTAAATAGAATATAGTTTACAATAGGATTTCTAAATACAATATATATATATATTTTCTTTATACAAAAATAGTGTTATCGAAATTTATTAAAATTTGATATTTTAATTTTTATTATTATTTTTATTTATTACATAAAATGTTGGTCAGTAAGACAGAAGCAAAAATGTCCTAAACCATTAATCGATATGACAACAATTATTATTATGCCGACAATAATAATAACTTATTGTCCGGATTTTTTGTGATTTTATTTATTATAAGTATATAAAACTGATTACACTTTATAATTCATATTATAATATAATGATAATAACAGGGCAACATGGCAAGACCCAAGGATGTCAGTTGGTTGCTATCATACCATGTTATTTTTGTTCTGATGTATAATATTATACATGTGTAGAAAATAGCATTTTAATTCATTTTGTTCTTATAACAGAGGTAATAATTTTGCAATAATCATTAGTTCTAAAGTAGTGATAAAAAATGATGTTACATCTATGGTTTTGTGTAAATAATTTTTATAATATTATGAAAAAGTTGCATAGACGTTTTCCCGTTTATCTTTTATGTTCTCGTAGAAAAAGTAAAAAAAAATCGGACCTCAGCTCTGTTTATAAGTTACGTACTTGTGTATAATGTATTACATGTTTGAAGTCTTTAAGTGTACCTAAGTAATTATGAAATGAGATCGGTAACAGAGTATTTTTTGAAGCTAAGATAATTATTTTCATTCCAACCCTAACCAACTAATCCAATGATTTTATTTAAAACGTCGATACCGATTTAATTATGTTTATCCATACTACAACATGAAAATATATTTAACAGTAGTAATATTATTGCACCTACTCTTGAAGAATAAATACGTAGTAAGAAAGTCATTTTCGAGTTTATACAACGAAGAATTTACATTTTTCGGTGTCCTTATATAACAAATTGATTTGTTTGTTGAGATTTAGTGTATAATATTATACAAACATATTATTTTAAGTGTTATAAAAATCCGGACTGTAATAATAATAATTATAATAACAATAGTAATAATAATGATAATAATAAATAATAATAATAATAATAAATAATGATTAAATGATTTTAATAATAACAATGCGTATTGTAAACCTATTATGCGGAAGTGTCGTGTTCCCGAATCGGTGTGTAGTGTGTACAGTCGATTAAATTTGACAACTACTAGAAAACATAATCGACACTACTTTAGAGGCGCATTGTGTCTTGGTATTTATTTCGCAGACGAGCTGATTAACGGGCTTGTGGCGTACGGCTGTCCGTTGCAGTTAGGTAGAGCGAACGGATTCATTGCGAACGGAGATGTAACCAAAGTGCCCATTCCTGTAATAAAGTAAAATTATGGTAAATTAGTAAAAAGCCATACTTTACGATGATGATCGACAACGCGCGGGATTTCAAACTAAAATGATATTATAATACAATTAATAAGCGAGCATATTAATATCTACTAGGAAGAATGACTATAATGAAGATAGTAGATACACTGAGTATACGTCCGTAAATTTGTTTGTAAAAACTATTTTGTAAATAAATTATAAAATACCATAGGAAACATATCGAAGAGAAGTGTTTGGATGGATTGCAAAATTTACGATGGTAGTCATAATATTAGTCATAATATCGGGGACGTACACAAAAAAAGTTGAGTGGAATATTATTTGTTTTTGAAAATCACATGTTGAAAAATGAAATTATAACTATATAATAATAATGATAATAATACGCTAACATAATAATTATTATCTATGTTGGTTATTGAAACTGTATCATATAATGAAAATTATCAATTGTTTTCCAATAAATAGGTACAATGAACCTCTCGTTCGTCAAAAAGTTAACAATACTCACAACACTTTTTTTCATTTTATATCTAATATAGATAAAGTTATAATAATGAATAAAAATCACAAAAATAAATGCATATACCGGCAACACCAACAAGCTAGTGTTTGTAATAATTGATAACCATAAAAAAGCCAAACATTTCGAAAGGGGGAAAGTGTTTGAACACCCAAAACATCCCTCTGCGTACGTGCCAATGGCTATGATAATTATGAACAAAAATAATACGGCTCGACACCGTATTTTGAAAATGATTTTTTATTCATTTAAAACTCAGATTATGCATAATTATTAATTATAATATTATAGTAACCTATGTCTACTTCGTTAATTTCCATCTTAATCGATGGTCATTGGGACTGGTTTTTTTCGAGTTACCATCGCTTGCCATTCAAGTGAAACACACCGCATATATAAAAATGTATAGTCGGAAAATAACTATACGGACAAGCGCTCCGTTCTACTGTCGTACAACGATAGACCTCTAGACAATAGCAATGGGTGTGTGGAAAGCGCAACAACATAAAGAGGGTGCTTTTTGGTTACTCGATTACTCGTACGAACGGTAGTGAGGGGAAGCAGGCCAAGATTATAGAAATAGCATAGATGCCATACAGGGCACATATAGACTTCTGTAGTTGTTCGTAAAGATATAGCGTACATCACTGCGAGATCTCGTGCAGCTATCGTCGCACACAATTATTCTTATACAGTAGAGCAAAGTCTATATGGGTATAACATTGTCGTCGTTGTATTTATACTCACTCGAGGAAGAATTGAAGAGCGACGGGTGCGAGGTAGCCGTGGGCGAATTCATGTTGGTCAGCTGAACGGACGACGCAGCCGACGTGGTGTTGGGCATGGCGGAACCGTTGTAACCGGGATTTCCCCCGTTACCGTTGTTGGGACCGGAATTGGACGGGTTTCCGCCGCCTCCACCGCCGCCGCCACTTCCGCCTCCACCTCCACCTCCACCACCGCCTCCACCGCTGGTCGGTGGCGGATTTATGTACGTGCTTCCGTTCGTGCCGTTGGTCGAGTGCGGTGTCGATGCGCTGGACCCATAACCGCCGCCTCGGGGCGACACGCTGCTGCTCTGACCGCGTCCGTAATCGTCTGCGAATAACGCAATGGGTTTTCGTATTAAAAAAAAACACTTGGCCGGCGTATGTATAAGAATATAATAATATTAATTTGCTACACGCTTCAAAGCAGTATCATAAATCATAGAACTATACAGATTGTGTCCCGTGTCGTGGCCAATGCCATATTATTATAACGGCAACTTGTTTTTAATACAAATCGGTAAACACGACAAGACGAAATTTGAATTTTATATTCAATGCGTTCAATGGTCGTGTCATGTTCCGTATATAATACAATATTTTATATTTATTTTTCGTTGCTTATTTGTTGTGAACTTTATACGACTTAATGGTAGCATTTGGTATGTGATTCAAGATTTATGACTACTGCCTGCGGGGGAAAGGGGGGGAGTGAAATTTTGGAATGAACCTATTTCATATTATTGTATATAATAAATTAGGTCTTAGCGTTAAACACGTATATATTCGGTTGGATTCTATAAAGTGACTGAATAAAATTATTGCCGAAAATACAATCGGTCGAAAACAGTAAATCGTGTCTTTCTTATTTGTTATCAAGTACAAAATATAGAGAGGTATCACGGGCCAAGAGGCATCAGATACGATATTTTAAATAAATATTTAAAAAATAAAAGCCAATACCTAAATAGTAGATAGTAATATGATACTATTATAGTATAATACTATAGGTATTATAAGTTAAAATACTATTCACATTATAACATATGATTTATTTTTAATTTATACGTATCAATTAAATGAGAATAATTTAATTTAATTATCAAACCAAAGTACTAGAGTGGCCTTATTGTATTATATTTGTTTTAATTGCATTAAAATGTAATATTTTATACTTTTAACCATAACTTGGCTTCAGAGTTTTTCTATATAATATCATCATTGCACACACCTATGTAGGTGTCAAAGTGTGGCTCGTCCACCACACGCATAATAGAGAACGAATAAAAAATAAAAATATAATCGGAATACAAGTACATAATCCCACCCGGGTCAGTTTGGACTAAGAGGAAGGATTTCCTCTCCATTTCCCATTTTTTACCCTCGAAATAATCATCCTTGATGACTGGTCGGAAAGACACTATAAGATACCGTGTTCGACTAGTTGTAATTATAGGAAACTAATAACTATAATAAATTAATAACTAATAACTAATAATATAATAATATGCAGATATCATTACAGCACTCACCGTCGTTCCATTGACCGGTTGCACCGTGGTCGTGAACGGTCACCGCTAGCTGTCCGGTATACGGGTTGAACCCGGTGCCCACCGACCCCGCCGTCGTCGACATGTTGTTGCCGTCCCTGTCCCGTGAGCACGGAGACCTAGGCAGCGACAGCGACAGCTGATTGTTCCTGGGCATCGTATAAAGTGCTTCCGCCAAATCCGCGGCCCGCTTCAGGATCACTTCCTGTGAAAATAAGTAAACACCACATTATAACGTGTGTGATTATAGATATCCAGATATTTATGTTGAGCATGTATCGTTCTCGTCATATTATAATGTAAATATCATGACCCGCATCTACTATGCGTTTTGTGCCGCACTCTGTGGTTTTAATATGAAAAGCGAATTTTTTTAGAATTTATATTATGTGTGATATAATCGGTATCGGTAAAACGGTGTTACTGGTGTTAGATGGGCGCCGATCACACGTCGACACTTAATTTAAAATTCCTATACTTAGTCATCGACCATAACGATTATTATAATATTATGCTGTTCCATAGCAGATCACTCGTTGTTGATCGTTTAAATTTTGATTTAAATGCCCATAACATTTTAAAACAAATCATCCATTCAAAAATTCACAATAGACATGGTGGTTCTGCATAAATGAGTAAAAATCTATTTGAAAATATGGGCTCTAAGACTTAAGCACTTATATATACTTAAAAATGTCAAACATCAGCACTTGTTAAGGACAAAAGTGAGTGGTCATGGAGTGAGCATGATGACTTTTGAATACAAATCAATTATAATAATTTCACATACAATAATACCAATTAATTGATTGATGATTTCGAAAAATTATATTATAATATTCTTAACTATTGTAAACTACTATATTATAATATCAAGTCTATCGCATAAACACCGTATAGAGGGCACGTAGCTGCTAAATTACGACGTTTCGTTGACGATAATAAACCTATACTGTCTTAATATTAATATAAGTGCGTAAATTTGATTTACCTTTGGTAGTTTTTCGGGATCACCTGGATATCTGGGTACGAATTTTTGTAGTCTTTGAAAACCGTAATCAATGGTCGGTTCGCTGAGTGCTAAAATGATAAATATAATATTTTTTTTAAATGTATAATTTTACATTGATGGTAGAAATTTAGTACGATCGAATTGGTTATACATCATATTACAGCTAGCAGCAGCAGCAATATTCCGAAACGTTGTTTTTTTCGAAATAAGCGCGTTACCGTCAAATATTTACAACAATTTACTGCTTGAATATACACTTACATATGTACGCGAATCTGCCGGGTGATCCTTTGCAAAACTGTTTGGATTTGTACGACAACGTTACCTCCACGATGCCGGGTATGGGCCTGGGCGGTGTTTGCACTTGTATGGCGTGTGGAGTCAATAGCTGCAGGGAAACATAGTAATCGTATTAAACCTACGTGCTCGGAATACGCGAACACACGACAATATATATATATATATGTGTGTGTGTGTGTGTATCGAGTTTTCTGTTTATAATTACTTCGCTCCAAACTAGATTGCTGCCGAAAACCACTTGCAACCCGTCGAAGAAATTATCACCCAATATAGTGACCGAAGCTCCGCCGTGGGTCCATCCTTCGCTCGGTGTAATGTGTTTTATACACGGTGTAGCCACGGGCAGAGGAGAAAACATGCCTATAGAACAACAACAAAAAAAAGAATGAACACAAAATCAAATTTGATTCTGAACGCTGTAAGTGTACAATATTATATTACCTATATTATAATAATACCCTTAACGCGTAAAACGAGATTTTTATGTCGCCGAGATAATGAGAAACGTATTTATACAAGCGCATAATATTATATAAATAAAAACGCGTTATACGCTCGTGACGAACTAAGTTTTGACACGTTTTAGAATATATTATGGACAACGCCAAGAGAAAACTTTCAATTTTACAGCGTATTATTATTGTATGCACGCATTACCTATATATTATAACATTCCAATTCTTCTGTTCACCCTTGTAGGCAGCAAGACGAAATAATATTATAATATAATAATATGAGGTACGTAAACTATTGGAATTTTTTCTTTTTTTTATAAATTCCATTGAAAATTACGTTTACGGGAATGAAAACAAAATATTGTAATATATATAATTACGTGGTATGTGTCATTGTATTCACATTTACTATTATTACGTAAATTACTTTTAATTTCCTGTGCGACATACAACGATCGGTGTCTGGTTGAACAATAATTGTTTTAATTTTTGGCCATTTAATTTAAGTCGATTCTCTAAAGTGGACTTTTCTTACGGATGTGATTCATAAACCAACCATGGACTCTCCCGCACAGTACTCGTGATTTTATCCGATTTCTGAGAAACCGAACGTAAAGCCCGTGTGTCAAGTGAAATAATCGATCGAGTGTGATGGGAAAAAACAACGCTAATGGCCGTAATTTTACTCGACAATCCGACTATCGCGGGGAAACAAAAAACAAAAATAACAATCGATAGGACGTAAAAATACAAAAATCCTCAGACGGGACAAACCGTATACATTTAATGCATATTATATATTATATATATTATATTATACATATTACATATATATACTATATTATATCTTTTTTTATAGTATATTATATTTTATTATTCGCTGTATCCATCGACATCGTAATATTTTTTTCTCTACTTTTTCGTTGTATTTTTTATCTCTGGTATATATTATTATGGAGTGAATTGAAGTTACGCTTAGCTGTCGGGACCGAGAGATTTCTTTTGCCGGGAGCGGTTCAATTGCGACGCTGTATAAAATGGGTTTTATGCAGTGGACCGAATCAGGCGGTACCAATTCGGGACAAGAAAAAAGTTTTAGATCGCAAAACTCCGTAGAATGTCGCCCGGCATACACAAACAACTTCCACGTGTATTTTTCCCTTTATTTTATTTTCCTTCCGTTTTATTTATTTTTTTGTCCTCTTACTTTAAGGGGAAGAAAAAAACAAAACAAAACGTCAAAACTCGCGAATATCTGTTTAGTATTGCTCTGGCGTTTTGCTCGGCTTTTAACAATCACTAGATACCCAGCGATATTATATTATTATCGACGTTTTTTGTGCATGTGTGTATTTATTTTTTTTACGTGCTCCGAGTCAATTATGTTAAATAATATTAGGTCGTGTTGATATTATGCCGTCAGACTTTTCTGCGTATAAATATGCAATGTTATGCTGCACGATAAAAACGGGGGAAAAATACGTTCATGACAATAATATCCGAACATCCCATATAATTATTATTACGATGCGTTGTAGTCCGCAGCGGGGAAATACAATATGATGGTAGTATTATATAAAGTGACCTTTACCGAAACACTAATATTAGAATCGGTGGAAATTGCCCTTACGAAATATTTTGCCGAAATTAAATTGTTTTTAATGCATGATAAAGTTTTATAATACGTCCTACCTCGTATGCCGTACACGCACACTACAATCATTATATTCTCCAAATCAATATTAAATTAGTTAGGTGATCATATTATTCATATAATATAATATCATTATTCATTAATATCTGATTCTAGACGATAATAAAATAAATGTACTTAGTTTTTTCTTACCGTCATTTGGATCTAAACGTTTTGCTCGGCGTCCGTGCTTTGAATTGTTGTGAACGAACATGTTATCCGATACTGCCAACAGGGGACCTTCAACCGTAACTTGTGTCGAAATGACCACCTGAAAATTAAAATTAAACGTTTAACTCGGTTTCACACATAACTGCCGTGTTATTGTTATCGTCAGACAACTACAAAATACTATCACGTATATTGCAACGTGGCTTATAATTTACAAAAATTAAAATTATATACTATAATAATTATTGTGTACTGAAAATACTATTGTAAAATCGTGTGTATGTGAATGTGTATAGATGGTATAATATAATTGGTACAATGGTACCTACACAGATATTCACATGCATGCAGTACATTGCAAATTTTTAATAGTTTCTGAATTTTGGAACTTTTAAATATGGATACTTAAAAGTATATTTTAAAATACTAAGGGTCTTGTGATATTTAAGGCGAGATTTAAAGAGTGGGTCCTATGCCAACTACTTTCTTTCAAATGAGAATCACACTCTTTTCTGTGATTTAATTACATAAATATTTTAAGAACGTTGATGTGTACATTTTTTTATAAATCAAAATTTGAACTAATATATTTTTAGTTAGTATAAGGATATCAGTAAGTATAATGTTTAATAGGTCCATGATGATGGATTTTTAAGATATAGGAGCTATGCTGATTTGAAAATGTTAGTATGTAATATTAATTATTAATCATCAACATTGTGTCATTTCATAATTATTAGTATACATTTTTCTAGAGTAATTTATAAATATTATAATAATATCATAATATGTCATAATATAAAGCCTGGTCCACACAGAGCCAATCAAATTGAAACAATATTGCTTATGTTATAAGTTAAGTAGTAGTAGGTAGATTGTATAAACATTTTAATGACTAAGAAACTACTTATTAGAATTTTGAATTGAGTACATAATAATGTTCAAATAAATTATTTGCTTGACAATTTACAATAAAAAAGGTTGATTATTGTTTAAAAAAAAGGATATGTAATGCCACAGAACACTCTTTAAAAAGTATACAAATCACAATTAATTGTAAATATGGTACTTAAGCATAATAGGTACTTAAAAACCAGAATTTGAATAAATTCATTATTAAACAAAAAATGGGGTCGAGCTGCATGGCGGATCACTAGAAGTACATTTAAGTATAAAGTAGGTGGTAGAAGTACTCGAGTGGGAGTAATGGATGGCGTAAAAACATAATATTATGTTTACAATCTGAATACGAGTTAATTTACGTAAACATATTATATACGTTATGCTTATGATTAATGGCTGAATTGGCTGATGCAAAGGTACATAATATTATATGGGTATTATTGTTATTATTATATCATATTGTATAACTCATGAGCTATCTGTTATTATGGTAAACACTAAACAAACAAGGTGAATTAATAAAATATCTCCAGTAGTTCTCTATATACACATCTAAAATTATTAATTTATAATACATAGGTCATAGATATATATTCTATATAAATATATGTATAGAATATAATATATATAAATATATATGTATTGATTAATGTTTGGCGCGTATATAATATTATAAAGAATGGTAGGTAATAATTCACAGCGGTATAGCAGTTACTATACATTATAGTTACTATATACTATTACATTACTATACACACGTTAGATATTACACGAGAGATAAGTTCCACTCGTTTATTTCAAATTTATGGCTGGAAACGGTTAACATCCGAGGCACGGGTTTCTGAATAGGATCTAGTAATTTCGTACCATATTATTATGATCGTACATTGTATACACCACTATTATAGTAATATTATTATACAAGTTAAGTCGCCGAGTTTTTATATAAAGCTGAAACACACGGAAGCAGGAAAACACTGTTGCCCGATCTGTATAATATAGGTTGTATTATAATACATTATACACCAAATATGTACGGATGTACGGACTCACGGTACTTCCGGTATTAATGTTACATAATAATATTAAACTGAACAACATTCCCTTATTTCACAAACAAGCATAATATTATTATAATTGTTACTGTGACGTGTGAATAATCATTAAATATTTATTTTCTTTATAAATATTAATACAAGACGTACCTACTCGAAGACCAAGGTAGATACTTATCATATCGCTATCTACAATGTATAGACAGATAACGAAAGCCAGAACAGTTTAAAATGATATTATGGTATTGACCCAAAAGACGTTCGATAGTTATATAAGATTATTAAGTATAACGAAGGACGTATTTTGACAGAAGTTGTACACGTCAAATTGTTATTCCTTACGAGATGTTTCGACAGGTTTTGATACCACGGTGTTCTGAGTATCATTTCGCATTAATTTAACAAGGTGACCTAAAAAAAAGTAAATGGGTACCGGGTAGTTTCGGTATTAAAATAATAATAATTTATTATGGAATATTATTATTTATTTCCGTTCAATATAACTCGGTGCCGTATTATTATGAAAATGAAACATAATGACTAATGAGTTTACAATACGAATTTAAATGGGTCCATGTTGTTGAGTGATTGTATTAAGTGGTCATATTTTGTACTTTTTGTGTGCAATAATCTTAAGACACAAAAGAAAAAATATTTTAATGTGTAAGGCATGTTTATCAAAAAACAAAAATACAATTTAACTGGAAAACGTGGAATTAATCTTCATTTCAATTTTAACCTGTAGCGAGACGAGACCACTAGACTGCGGTTGACTTGCTTGCTCTGTACTCGTTACAGTATAATATATTAGATTAGTTATTATAGATTAGTTATAGATATTAGTTCGACGACGTCTCATGCTAGGCCGATTGACGGGCAACGATAATCGTCGAACGCCGATAAGATTAGAATAATAATATAATATAATTAGTTCTAATAGTTCATAACAATTTTAAAATAACCCACAAATGCTATAATTCTATAAATGATATTCGTGTGAAAAAAGTGTCTTTGGTATACCAGATACATACTAACAAGTAACGGTGTCATTACTAGCTAGACAGTGTTTTCTACTATTGCAGTATTGCAACTGTTTTTAGAATATATTTTATACAATTTTTTCCCCGGAATACAGCGAGTGTCGACTGTCGACGATGACCACGGAAATAATAATATTATTGTGACAGAAAATCACCGGTACAGATCTCTTTTAAATTACCATTCATCTCTTAAAATTGTTGTATTGCTGGTTTAAAACTAATCTCACGCTTTGTAAAATGAAAAATATCAAAAACCCAAATAATGCAACCAGTCATTCGGCCTGACGGTCCCGCGTTATTACGTTCAAAACCGTCCAAAACTCCAAGCACGACTAGTCGGCTTACATATTGTAGAACTTATTTGTGTATTGTTGTGGGTTTTGACGATTGGTTTTATCGTTCCGGTACAAACCTATCGTCGACCACTTACGGCTTATATATTATATAATATATATGTATCACGAGTGTGTGTACGCCGTACGGTCGAACGGGTCGCTAGCGATTATTAGTTATATTCTTAGTTTTTTTACCATTTAGTCGTTAGATACCTATGGGTTCCGACAGTCAGTCGTTAACAGGGTTAAAGCAGCAATTATAATTACGATAATTTTTTTTTTTTAATTAATTAATAATCATCTTTTTGCCATTCCTCGGGGTAATCTCACACTGCAATATAATGTATACCAATTATCCTATTAGACGGATGAATTTAAATATTATTGTGAAAATTCCGTGCTTTATAACATCTTGCTGATCGTAGATAAATTATACAGCGAGGGGTCGACCGATGCGAATATTATTCGACGCCGTCGTCGTCGTCGCCGCCTCCGCATCGAGCGCATTCGGCGGCGGCGGTCGTGTAGTCAATTATTAAAACTCGAGCGTCGATTTTCTCGCGGAAAGTTTTTCATTATTAAAGAGGTGAGCGCACGCGCTTAAGCTTGTGTGTGTGTGTATGGTATATATATATATATATATATACAGTGAGCGCGTGGTGTAAATTAGATTGGCCGACGAAAGTTTTCGCGCGCGCTTCGTCGAAATAATAAGAATTTTCCGCGCGAAGGCAGCCCACACACACGCACACTCACACACACACACACACACACACATATATTATATATACATTATACATACGTACTTACTTATACTCTTACACTCATATATATATATATATAATATATATATGTATACTGTTCGCGCCGCCGGCCTTTGCAGCGCATTGCACAAACACAAGCGGGCGACGCGGTGCACTTTCGGCACACATACATTATACATGTATATATATATATATACATATTATACAACTGTGGGTGCAGACTGCAGGGGGTAGGTGTACACACACGCACACACAAACGAGCGCACCGCCACCCATTTTGTGGCGACGATAGGGTAAAATCGACTCCACCTCTCGGGGGTTTTGAATTCCGCCTCCGGGGAATACGCCGCCGCCGCCGCCACGCCGCCCGTGCGGTATACGACGACTATCGTGTGCGAGCTCGCGAGCGTCCTTGACGTCGTAGTCGTCGTCGTCGTCGTCGTCGTCTTCCGCCACCCCCACCACCGCATCCCTCAGCACCGCCACCGGCCACGACTGCCGCACCTACGCCGCAGCGCCCGATGTCCCCCGGGGCGGCCGTTCCCATGGGAACACGCGCGGTGGTACGACGGGGGTGAGGGGTTGGTTTTGAATCGCTAAAGAACATAGCGCCAAGTGCCCTTCGCCGCCGTTTCCGGGGTGGGTATCGAGGCGGTGGATTGGTGGGGCGAAGCAGGGGAGTTGTACATATACATATATATATATATATATATTAATATTATGTACCCTGCACGCGAGTCGGGTCAATTCTCCGAGCGTTTCGACTTTTGCCGCCGCGGATCGCCCGCGCCACTTCAATATTATATACCTAAGTGTATCTAGCTGGGCGCATGTATATACAACAACAAGACGTGTCGCATACCTGCTAGCTATAATATTATTTTTATTATTTCGTTTTATTGTTACGTATACGCTCCTTCAGTGGAATGCATAGACATTTCCGAAAGTGTGCGGGCTATGATAATTTACATTCCATCAAGTTACCTAAAAAATGTATTTTATTGTTTTAATACCATTAATTAGTAAATTATGTTCGGTGCTTGAAAAACACGAGAGTATGTGTTGTTGATGGTAGGATATGTTAAATTGTATTTTCTGTTACAAAATTAGTGATTTGGGTGAATTATATAAAATTATTTTTTACCGTGAAACTTGTGTTAAGTTTTTAAAAGCTCGTTATTACAAAATGTAAATGTTTGTACATAATCAAACGATGCGGGCGAGGAGAAATCCAGAGGTAGCGGAGTGAAAGAAACTTTTAAAAATGGTCAGACACGACATTTAACCGGTCCATTTAATCAAACTAAATACTTTCAAGTTTCAATGCCGTAATCGGAGTTGTCGAACACAGTGCGTAAATAGCATACGGCATATAGGCATATAGCTTCAAGCAGTCTTTTTTTAGATATTAATATATAATATATTTTTTTATATGAAAACATATTTTTGCGGTTTTATGTAGGTATAGTGACAAAAATTCAAGTGTGGGCCTGGGCACCCAATCTTGTGCTTCTTTGATAATAGGCACTATCATTTTCGCTGTGGTGTGGACAGACATTTTTATGGAGGGGGGCTTATTATATTTATTATTTTTTAAATAAATCGTTGGGTAGCCCCCCCCCCCTCCCACACTAACAGTTTATATAAAACAGTGGACAAGTGGGTATTGATCTGCTGTATAGTAGGTATGTAGAAAGGATGGTTAGGTTACACTAACGGGTGTATTAAATAATTTGAAAAATTTTCAATTTGAACTTTAAATGTGTCTATGCCGTGTTTAAGCCTTGCATTTTCGTTGCTTTTGGCTGTAATTTTTAAAGTTGAACAAAGTTCTTTTTTTCGAACGTCTCTGTGATTTCACTTTTATAAGTACCGATTTCTATGTATCATTGTTATTTGTTGCAATTATTAACGATAATATTGGCGTTATCATTATTATTATACCACGAATGAGCACAACTGCTAAATACAGTATTTTAACTGTTGTTTCAATAACAGTTTTTACGGTTCAAATCGGACTATCGTCATCGTGTTTACGATGTTCCTTATTTTATCGTCTATAACAGAACTTTAATAATAAAAATACAATTATATGAATAAATTAACTACATGCAGAATAAGTCGTTATTAAAAGAATATGTCAACAGTGAGAGTTTAGTGACAACTTGAGTGAGAATGCGACTATAGAATATTCCTATATTATTATTATTATATCTGTCTGCAACAACAACTTACTACTTACATACCGACGTCGTATTATTTAGTTTCAAATTTTACTATTTTAGTGCGGCGAGGGTGAGAATTGATGAGCGGAAGTTGAGTATATTTGAAGGTGTCCGTTATTTTGATACTTGGTTATTTTTTTTGCATTTTCACTTAAATGTATTTTTACACGTCACAAATTACCAGCGCACGCGCACGCCACGGACTGGCGCTCATCGATTTATTTAACCTCGTTAAATCGTATACGCATTATTATTATTATTTTACGAGATATACATAATAATATAATGATCATACATAACCTATGCGTGTACTTGTTACGTGCAGCGAGAAAAAACATAGGTATCGTAAAAAGAGCTGAGGGTACCCGTGTGTTGTCATCGATGGTACTAGTGAGGAGGGCAGGGCGTTATAATAATGTCGGGGTTTTTTTTGTTTTTTCCCCGTTTTCGATTGGAATGTTATCGTATTATATCGAGGACGGGACGATAATAACACAGTTAACCATCGTCGTTAAACGTGATAAACGCGCCTAATAAAATACTTTCCGGACGACAGTAATAATTATTTATCGGCAAGGCAAATGTTGGACGAATGTTTTTTGTGTTTTTAATTCTCAAGGTTTTTTGTTTCTTTTTCTTTTTATTTTTTGTATCATTTTGTTTTAGTTCAAATAATAATAATAATAAGCTGAATTTTTTTCCCACTGTCTTCTTAATGTAAAACCGTTGTATATTTTTGTTTTTGCACAGTTATGGGAGTTAATGTTGTTAAAACTTTTATTAGTCGCGCGCGTGGCATGCTCCACAAACTGCCGTAGATAGGTCTTGACATGAATTCAGGCTGTTTTGAGTAATTTTTACACCGAAAGCTTTAAAAAAATAATTAATACGAGAAAGGTCTCTCTTTCACTCCCTCTCTCATTTGTTTTTTATTTTTTACTTTCCTGTTTACCGTTTCCGACGGGTCTGCATCAATTATGAACCGTAATGGCGTTTTATATTCTTGCAATCGTCAGATGAAAGAAACTTTTTTTATTATTATTTAAAGCGTGAAATGCAATAAAATATTTATACAAAAAAAAATCGACAGAGACGAGCGTGTTAGGTAACAAAAAAAAAAAAAAAAATACACGAACTTTTCACATGCATTAATTAAACAAATGCCTTTTACCTGTGATGACTATTCTCTCGCTTCGTGGGTATTATACTACACACCTTTTCATTATTATTTTGTGAATAATGATTGTGCGTTGTGTGTATTAGCCTTATAGTAATTAATACGTTCCTTCGTTTGCGACGTAATAACTTACATATCATTATATACACACACATTTTATTTATGGCATACTGAAAACGTCAACAAAGATCGTTTAATTTTTCTTGTTTACGATGTTAACCCACAATAATCGGAGTACATAATGTTATTAAAATTACATTTCGTGTTTGAACGAAGCGTATAGGACACGCACGACAAACCCACCACAGACGGTGTATATCATTTTATGTTTGTGAGCATAATATATACATATTATAATACTGGAAAACCCTTTTACGTTAATGACTTGAATGAAAAACTACCCCCTCGGTTTTTTTTCAAACCAGGGAAACGAAAGACCTTGTTCGGTTTATATGCACATTGCACACACACAAACACACTTTTACTTCTAATATTGTTTAACGTAATAATATAGTGTATAATACTATACCTACCTACTCTAAAGTCTAAATATAATATAAAAATAAAGGTAACTGCTTACTTGAAACCTCCGCATGTCCCTGGGATTGCCAGCGTTTTTCAAACAATTTTGATTGCATTTCAAGAAAAACTTCAAGAAAAATCTATAAAACAAAAAATGTGTCATTTCGAATTAGTTGTGCTAAATTTACAACTTGTATAGGCAAAAACAGAAACAAATGTCAGTAATATTATTGTTATTATGAGTACCCAAACAAAATATAACATTGTTGTGAGCGTTTTCGTGGACCTCGGTAAAGACAAAACCTCAAAAACAATATTTTTCGATACATTTTCGAGTCCTAACTGTGGGCGTTCGTCTTGAGGTCATTGTATTAACAATTATTATTATTAACGTTATCCTATTTATTTACGGTACATATTATTATATTTACAGTGGAGTAAAACCGCCGAGTGATGTGCGGTGGTTAAGACGTAGAACGGCGAAACGACGTTAAGTGTACACACTTATCTGTCGTGAATTCCGTCGCAAAATAAAGTTTATTTATAGTACCGACTATGTATACCGAGGTAATAATATTGTGCATCGCGTTGTGATATTACTATGCCGAAACGCTCCGTATACCTATTGCCTACCTGTAATAACATTTTGCCGTCTAATAAACAACGACGGCGCACGCGGCGTGTAATAACACGATTATTTTACTGTTTTTCCGAACCGTTCAGAATGTTTCCATTACACAGTGTGTTTGCTTTAATTTGTTCACCGATTTCCACGCGAAGACGTGTACATAATATTATTATTATCATAATTGAAAACGTTACGCCGCACCGATCGACCGAATCGCGAAAAGAATTACGAGCAGGCGCCCTCGGGGGGAGGGGGCGGCCCCGGACGGAAAATTGCATTATTCAATTTGCTGTCGGGGTAATGAACGTATAGTATACTGCGTAATAAAGTTACAATAATAATGTTATATATTTTATATATGTATATATACATATATACATGGGTTATATTATTATAATGTTATATTATAGTCAGAGCATTATGATTGATGCACACTGCCAATCGGTCTCCCCCACCCGCCTGCCACCATATTGGCATCACCGTCATCGCGGCACCGACCCGTCTACTGTTTTATTACATGGTCGACTATCACGCACACGGGGTTAGGTTAGTCTGATAAAATATATATAATCTTTGGCACGACCCTCCGAACCCGCCGGCAGCGGCGTCGCAAAAGACCGAACGTAAACGACGAACCGTCTCCGCCGGGGCGATTCCCCGAGGAGTTTTCCGGTCGGTCCGACGCACCGCGATATCGTGGTTTGTATTGTTTCTTTTCGTTTTTTCAACGACTATACCTCTACCTATATAATAATATATTATCATATTATATGCACCGCGGAGTCGAAGTTCGATAATAAAAACTTGCCCGGTATACATATACGTAAAAACGTCACGATCGTTTTCGAGCAGTGACGGGATTTGAGAAAAAAAAACAATATACGAGCGAATGTACAACAACGTTGCAACCATCAAAGCATATAAAAAGTATTAGAAATACCGAAATATCATTATAATATCTACATTCTACTTCTCTGTCTCAAGTCTTCTATACCACTTTATAATACATCGTCGTATGGTACCTACACACAGCATTTTAATTCAATTTATTTAACTATAGATAATACTGTGTTAATCTGATATATTAATACCTAATATATTTATAAATAATCTATTTCTATATCTTTGTAATATATATGTAATATATTACTTAGAGGTAACATTTGTTTCTACGTAGGTGTTAATCTTGTCTGTAACCGCTGAACCCATTCTAAAATGTATATTTTCATTAAATGATAGCTGCACCGTCCCTGAGTAACATGTTCATAGTAAATCCTTGAATTTTACCCCTAAACGTTGCAGGCGTTCATACTTGAATTTTGTTTCAGGTAATTATTTTTTTTCAGGGTGAAGTCGAGTATTTGATAATAGTATGCATTTCCGGAAGCACGATGCAGTTTTTTTTATTACTCCGCTGTCACCGCTATCGTTCTTCTCGTTACACTTCTGCTGAATTACGCAGTCGTGACGATAACGAACTTAATGATTTAATATTATATATGTATTATGTGTATTATAGCTTTTGAGCAAACAAACCAGAGATGGCGGTGCTCGATCAGTATTATGTGATAGTGGCGTTTGAAAATGTATTTCCAAGCTATGTTATGTATATAATATATGTGTGGTGTGCCCGACGAGGGATTAACGTTTCGACCGGCGGCGTATGTGTCGTGATGTGTTTTATAGCCGACAATCGGTCCCGAGATCAGTACACAAGGAGCGCGTGCACGCGGCCCGTGTGCCGGATAAATCGATTTCCAACTGATATTGATCTTTAATAATAATAATAATAATAATAATAATAATAATAATGATGATGATGACGATGACGATGACGATGATAATAATAATAGAAGTATTCGACTGTATGTATTATATGTTTATAGCTTATACGACCGGCAACGTACAAAGGCAATAACCCGGTAGGTTCGAACTGTTGTGCACGTCGTCGTTGCGTGTTTGAACTTTGAAGTACTGGCCAAACAGCTCGTATTATTATTATGATTATTATTATTGATATTATAATACTATTATGTAAGCAGACGACTCCAAACGTAGTTTAACGTAGGTAGAGAAATGAGGAGAATAAGGATAGGTAGTCATCCTATATTTATTAATTAATTGTTGAACTATAATAGTTATTGCTAAAAGTTCTAATAAAAAATAAAAAAGGATAGGTAGTTGATGTGGTTAAAAATTCTAAAAATAAAACAATATTATGCTGCTCCCTGGGAAATATAATTATGCATTCGACATGTCAGTATAAAAACGATAACTTCTAAACTCGAAATACGAATAAATACAGACGACGTTGGTGTGTACACTCGCATTTTTGGTCGTATGCGGGCTTAATAGAGGCTAGAAAGAGTCTTTGGAAATCAAAGTTACAAACAAGCCATGGAGTTAAAAGGTCCCTCTGTTTATTAAACAATAATTATTCTTCAGATAGTTAACACATTTAATATTTTACAATTTTAACGACTGCAGATACTTTTAAGATTTTGTTTATCATGAAGAAATTATACTTTTTATTATTTTTGGGCGTTCTTATGATTTTTTCTGCGAAAACCGGAATAGCTAATGGGTAACAAAAATAAACAATTCATCCAAAATAATAATAATATACATTAGGTAGGTATACAATATAGTTAATACATATACGATGTACCTAAAATGTATTTTATAATCATTAATAATTACTATACATATTGAATGCATGACAACTTGTTTTTTTGGCGTAGCTTTGGTAAAAATTCAAGCGGGATTAGGGGGGGGGGTGGTTGCTAAAATGGAGATCCCCCCTCCCTCCGATTCATCGATGCGGACGGTGCAATGTTTCGACGACGTGTGAAACGTGCGGCCGAATCGATTAAAAGGATTCCGCCGGGTCGACAATATTATATAGGTCCCGCGAGACGTGTGAGCTCCGTATATACGGAATACGATCTTCCCCCCCTCATCATACAACCTACCGAATATTGTTGCTCGTCCGCATTACGATATCGTGTACCTTCGACCTTAGGGTGAACTACTCTTTTCTCGCGACGACGACGTCCTGCCAATGGAATTATATTACCTACGCAATACGAGATAAAAATAATAATAACGTCGATAACCGCGGTATACACTCGGTTTTTACCGCGATTATCACATCCGACACAAAAGTTGAAGAGTTTAGCAGGCAGGCACGGTAATGAAGCTACCTTTTGACCTAATACGCTGTGTGACTAAATATGTTTATAGTGTATAAATTACAAAACATGTATAGGTACCTACAGTATACGCACACAATTGCGAAATTAAGTAGAAAAGGGGACATGGTATAAAAAAGGGGTACGACTGACGTGCGCGTGGGGAGAAGAGTGAAATAATTGCATTTATCTGCCCGTGAAAAGCACACGCACACACACACACACACACACACACACGGACTTCCGTACATCGTCACGGCTTTGCAGTGCGGGATGGAAGGATGGACGGGAGGGGGCTACCGCGTATACCTAATGTTTCTGCATTAGCCGGAGAAGTCGATGACTACACACCGTCGGCGATTCCTCCCCGGGGATAGTTCAGCGACAGTCGTTCTCGTTACCCCGCAACAGTTTATCTTCGATCCTTAAGGTTTCTCTCTTCCGTCGTATATATATATATATAATATATAGGTATAGGTATAATGGTATATACTTCCCTTACCACGGACGTCCGTTCACTCCCCACACACCTTCTCATCCCCTCAACAGTTTCTTACGTATCTCTCTCGGTCTCTCGGCCTGTCCCCCCCCCCTCTCTCTCTCACTCATACACGTACACCTGCATAGCCGAGTTCTCAGTGTTCTTACCCCTTTATAATATATGTATACGCTTGAGTGTACCCACCACAACGACCCCGCAATAAAAGTCTCTACCGCGTGCACCGGCCGTCGTCGGCCGTTTGGACCGCGGTACAATCTCGCTAAGGGTTTTTTCGCCGTAATTAAATAGATCGTTCGCGGCTGCAAAATAAATGTGCGACCGTTTCTCGACGACCAGTAATGATTCTATATGATACGTGACGATTATACCTATCGTGTGGTTATTGCGCGGCACCGCGGAGTTATCCGTATCGAAAAAGCGTCACTCTCCGGCGGCGGTTCGCCAGTTGTGGTCGGCAGACAACGGAAAAAATATCTGTATACGAAAGTTAAAGTTTTCCAAAAGTTTTCCCAACGATCTCAAATCGTCGTCGAACGCGGAAAAAACCCGAGCATTTCAATTTGCTGCTCCCGAGATTCAAAACGACGGCGGCAGCGTGCGTGTGTACCGTGTAAATTCGTATCTCTCGTTCGCTTCCCGTTCTGTATTCTATTAGATAGTTACAAAAATTATGTCTTACAGCAGCGTCGGTGTATATATATTTATTATAAAATTGTAAAGTTTGCCGTAATCCGACAAATAAGTTACGGGCGACGACGACCATATACGGTTGCGGAGTTGCAGCTGCGGTTAACCGTGTAATGCAGGTATGGGTATACT